CTCCTCAAAGTACAGACATTTCGTGATTCTAAAGACTTTTCGGTGAGAATTCTTTGATCATAGATGTGGTTAGCCAATAGCAGTTTTATCCTTATTTTGCTAAAGCTGGTGCCTTCCTCTACAAGGCAGCCAAGAGTGCAGATGTTTTCTGCTCGGTATATTAGTAGTTTTAAGCTCAGGCAGAAAGACATAAAACTCTGATTGCAAAATAAAAATGTGACCATGTCTGTTATCTTATATGCCACTGTAATATCAGATGTTAAGCTGCAAAGGAGAGTATAGTACATTGCTGTATGTGCCAAAGATTGTTGTAATAAGTATATGACAAAAGTGGTGGTGATGTAACTTACGAAAGCAAATGTTTTCCTTTGTGGTTAATATACGTAAGTCATTAGATGTAATTTGAATATGGTTTAAATTTTCTCTGTCAAACAGTAATACCTATGATTATTGACGTTCGACTCTTTGTTGAGAATGTTTATCGGATACTGAATAAACTATTTGTAAACGTTTTAACGGCTGGCATGATGACTGTAATGATACTCTTGCCAGTAGACTAATTCGACACCACTGTGGGTTTTGATTATGAATATTTAAGCACAGATCTTAATCTATCCACAACAAAGAGTGTTTAGTTAAAACAATGACTTAAATGTGCAAATCTTCCATTTAAAGTGTGTAGATATGAGTCTCAATGGGTGATTTAAAAAACTTAAAGGCTTACAGTTGGAAACTTTCCCCTGCCTTCAGTGTTTTGTTAAATCGTTACTTTTTACAGATAAAATGATTCGGTGGTCTTTTCATCCATATGAGGTATGTTGTTAATTTGCAAACAGAGGCCCATTTTAATCAGGAACCTTTCAGATAAGTTGGATCTGCGTCAATACCTGTCTTGGAAACAATACAGTACCGTTAGCTATTTGGGTCATAAGCTCATTTATACTATTCATGTACATTCCACGTTTGAGAAGCGGTACAAATTTGCAGGCAGACTCCTTTGATAAGGAACCGTGTGTATATTGGCTATTTTAGATACGGGGGATTTGCGTCAATACCTGCCTTGGAAACCATGGCAACGTTACGTTAACTATTTAGGTCGTAGACTCTTTTACAGAACCTTCCGCGTTTGAGAAATGCTACAAAATTGCAAACAGACCCATTTGATCTGGGACCTCCTGTGCATTGGCTATTTAAGATAAGTTGGGTCTGCGTCAATGTTTGCCTTGAAAACCATAGTAACTACCTCAGTTGTAGACTCATATTCTTTATAGTTTTTCGCCATGATGAAAATGGCAATTTTCTACAGTTACGAAAGTTTCTTAAAAAGAAACCTTACTATTTTATTAGTTATATAGTATGTGCACAGGTTCTAGAACTGTTTTACATGGTAAGGCGCCAGGGACGTATTTAAACACATATATGGTGACAGGAGTCTAAATCCCTCCTGCTATAAAATTGCAACATGATGTAACCCAACACTAGTTACCATAGTAACAGACGTCTGGTTCCTGTCATTGATCTTATTTGTTTGGAGGGGAAGACGAAACAGAGCAAAAACAATATGTTTTCTTCTGCGAGGGTAAACATAACTAGTAAATAAAATAAAAGGCATCGTAGAAGGCTCATGAATAATAGTAAGGTCTCGAGTTTGTAAACGCCACCTATCTACTATCTTGTCAGCCTTTTGCATGACGTTTTCATGACGCACATGAATGTGTGTGATTGACGGGAGCAGGCGTGATGCGTGTGACCTGTGCTGGTCTGTCGCACCGTTGCGAGTCTTATCACAGAAGGGTAGTGATGAGTAGTAGTATGATGTACCACTACGGGCCGCGCGCGCACGTTCATCATGTCGCTAGCACTGTTTGATATTTTAACACATGACCAGTCGGCTGGTTCAAGCAAAGTCTTAGAAGTCATAAAACATCATATAAAGATTACTGTTTTGCAGTTGTCAGAGGCAAAATCGGCTTTTTCAGTATTCATACATATGTAAATTAATCTACGAATATATGTAATAGTTAGCCCTCTCAAAACTGGAAAGCTAACATTTGCAAAGCAAATGCATGTTTACCTTCCCATATGGATCTGCTCGGTAATTCTTACACAAGCACATTCATATATATGGAGACAGACTAAATCCCTCCTGCTATGAAATTGCAACATGATGTAACTCAACACCAGTTACCATGGTGAGAGACGTCTGGTTCATGTCATTGACCTTATTTGTTTGGGGAAGAAAAGGAAGAAACTTTCGGTAAACATAATTAACCCTTTCAAAAAATAGTATTAATAAATGAGAAATAAAATTCTTTCGCTGAAATCTAAATATATACGGCATATACTTTGCTATTTGTAAGAGGTATTTTGAAACGATATTTTCCCGCGGCAAGAGTATACAGGCGTTCTACACTTCGCTTAAAGCAGCGAGAAGTCGCGGCAGCGTATCAGTGAGCACAATTTCTGTACCAGGATAATCAAGTCGCAGATTGCAACAGGAATAGGGGAACACGAGCCAAGGGCGACCCTTCTTGTACTCCAATCTTAAACCCCGTCTCGTAGGCGTCTTGGAGAATTGCAGAGGCGTCTGAGATGCGTGCAAATTGCTGACGCCTTCCCACGCGTTTCCACCGCGCACACATGTCGGGCGTCTGGCAACAAGTCATATCCGTGGGAATTGTGCACTTCAGCAGAAATGCCAAGTAGTATTCACCAAAGAAAAGTAATTAGACATTATGTGGAAACGTGTAACTGTATAGGATGCGTCTAATTTTATGTAAAAGCACAGTGGCGAGTCGTCTAAATGTTCTTGTAACACTGCATGGAGTTTCCCAACAGCCATATAGTTATGTAGTTTGAAGGAAAGACGAAGCGTATGGACTAAATATAACTGGAGTACCCTCTACGAATTTTCGATCGTTACATCTGCCTCTATCGTAGCCTGGATGTCAGCCCATTTAGATTCAGTAAGTTCCCTCGATTGCTTCTCTTACTGGCAAGGAAGCGACCGCTAGAGCATACAGTCTACAGACAGCCTTTATCTGGCATGTGACCCATTCAGTTCTGACGTGCGTAAGTTCTCGGAAATGACGTCAGAAGTGGGTCAAAGGTGCCTGAAAGTCCATATCGCCCGCCGCGCCCGATCTCCATCACCACGGGTGAGCTTTTCATTCTAGATATCCCTAACGTGGGCGCCCAACGTTTCGTTCCAGCCAACAATTGTTTGCAGAACCTTGATGATCAGTTATATATAGTCATGTATGCCATTCTCTCTGATTGACTACTGGCTTTAACGTATAATGCAAAGCTTTTTGATGCGAAGAGCCGTCTATACAGTAAACTACGGTTCGGAGATGGAAACTATTAGCTGTCTCCTTATCGGTGTATTGCCTACAGAGATTTGGGAAAATGGCCTATTCCGAGCACAGGTTTACGGGCTTGGCCATTGAAGAAGTCGTTTTAAAGGGTTATGTAGAGTTCTTATCATGAAGGAGGCGTATGAAAGTTAGCAATAGTCTACGTGCATCCATAATTCTTCGTCTTTATTCTAGGACTTTGCTGTAGGGGTCGTCTCTGAGGTTATGATGATCCACACACAGTGGATTTCTGCACAGTGCTTTCTACTTCAAGCTGAATTATGCCTTGCTGTACAAAAAGAGAGCACCTCTGCATTGGATCAATCATTAATTCTTAATTACATATGAGAATAAAATTGACCTGAAAACTAGCTAAAGGCTGGCATCTGCTCGGGAGCAAATACAGCATATTTCAGTCCATCTTCCTCCCCATTCCAAAATGGACTGTTCCATATCAAGATTTTCCATCTAGTATCGAGTGTGTCAATACCCCTAAGTATGTAACAATTGTTCTCAAAAACCCCATACAGTGATTTTCAGTGTTCTTAAATCGTTTCAGTTATACGTGGATAAAATAAATGAAGAAATTCAGTCAAATTCAGACCAAAAGATAGGTAGGTTGAGAAACAATAAATTCCCGTATTCGCCCACTCAGATCAGGCGCGGAATGAATTCCAACCTGTCTTCCCCGTCCTTTACGGATTGTGCTCAATTCCAGACCTCATTCCACCTGAAGTAGTTTGAAATTAGAGTGGTCATTACCAGCAACGCGCCAGGAATATACAAGGAGGACAGGCGAGGAATACAAGAGGGCGTCTCTCTGGAAAATAAGGCAATTTCCTGGCAGCTTTGCCTCAGAAATGTCCTACATGCAGTATATATGGTGTCGTGCTTGTGATAATTGAATACCGCAACATGAAAAGTGGAATACATCAACTGAGAACAGAGCGTCTGCAGAGGTCATTCTGAGATATCATAAAACAGCAAGGCCGCTCTCTGATGCCAGAATTTATCGCCCGTGGATAGCTAGGAGGGCCTATAAAATAAGAGAAGACCGGTTAAAGTTAAAGCAGCGACTGTTTATCTGTAATAAAGGCAACCCCAAATTTACCAGTGCGGTATGGGTTGGAATCTAAACACAAAGAGGGGCTGGCATGCTAGGCCTGTTATTTAATGAATAACTAAATGGCTTGGGGCTCTAAATCGTTGGTTAGCTTTATCGGCTTTTAAACTGGGAAAGTTTTATGATGCGTATCAGCTGCAATGCTTGATTGATCATCACTCATCTTTAACTCTTCACTATGAGGAATATCAATGTAGCAATACCAGCATTGCTTTTCAATTAATTTGAATATTTGACATGTATACAAAAAGGAGCTCCTTCATTTCTGTAGCTGGTGTTGTTTGGCAGCCAACCCAATACTTACTAATGAAAAATCCGTTTAGAAGGTTCTGTCAGTAAAATAAATGAAGACATATTAGATTCCAGGGGCCTTTTAGCTCCCTTAAGTATTACAATGGGCCCCTATATTGAATCTACCAACAGACATTGCTCTTATGATTCCCACTAGTGCTTAACGTGTACAATACGTCATTTTTCCTCAAATCTGAAAAAAAATGAAGCAAACAAATCTGAGAATGAAGACTAAATTGGTGTTGCCTTTAATATACATGTAGCTAAGGTAGCTAAGAATACTCAGTGTAACTTGCATTTGGTTCCATATTCAACACTAAACCCTATGGAACACAAATCAGATTACTCACTTAATCTTGTAGAACTCTCTTGTTACAGCCATGCAAAAATGTTTTTTAATGTAAAGCTTGTTCAACCAAGTGACTTGGTACAGCCTAAAGCACGGATTTTCTTCCGAGAATTTTCCACGGGCGCTAGAAATCCCCCGCGAAGCTCCAATTTCCCCGGAGGCATGTGTGCATGCATACTCCCGTAATACATTAAATCTGCCGAACTCCAGCAAAGATTCCGCCGCGGTCCCTTGGCAACATCAGACCAGCATTAGAGCCAATCTGTCTACCCAGGCTCATCCACGGCATTTCACACAAGCTTGAACAGCATGCAGCATTCATTGCCTGTGAACTAAAAGGGGATGTCGGAATACATTACTCATTAGGGACAAACCATGCATGATTGTTGGGTGGGTGCACATCGGCTACACAGATACAGCTTCAAGTACCAGAGTACCAAGGATTGAGGTGTTCAAAAACTCAATCTTTCCTAGAACTATCGCAGAGTGGAACTTGCTGTCAACAAGTAGAGTAGGGGACTAGGGGCATTATGATTAGATAGCTTTAAACAAGGTTTAGAGTTAGATATTTAAAGATTAGGTGCAACAAGTTCTTCGGTGTAATGTAGCCAGCTGCCACCGTGCCGCTTGGCTGCAAAGCTGGTGTGTTACGCCAAAGGGCAGTTACACCGACATAACCGATACAGATGAGGAACATATCATGGATGACTGTGGAGTGAGTGAAACTTCTTGAATGATTAAAAAGGTAAAGGTAGACCCATGGCCTTTTTGAGGTTGAAGAGACAGTGGGTTGTTAATCCACTGTGTCCAGGGCATGGTATTGGAGGGTGGAGTGTGGAAAATCGTGCAAAGGTGCCTTTCCTATATTGTCTAGCCATAAATGCCGGGGATCGAACCCGTGACCTTTTGTTATCCTTACCTCTCAGACACTGCGACATATACAGATCTTATGTGTTATACCATGAGGCAGTTATGCCTAACAAGTAACAAAACCAACCAATCAACCAACAAACAATAAGAATACAAACAAAATGTCTTTTGAGTTTGAGAGTTGTTACAGAACTGCTCGTGACGTCCCAGGGGCAAAGAAGGAAACATTCCTTTCCTCTACTTTGTACTGTAATGTCTTCATCCTGGTCTGTGGTTGGCTGGGGTCCTGGACATTCCGGAAAGTGACAGTCACCTAGGGAATTCAGGAAAGTTGTTAGCTTTTTCTAAATGGGGAGGCAATCTTCTTCAATTCTATCACATTGGGATGTCTTGACTGTAATGCAAAGGTTGGTTACGGTTAACATAAAATGAAATCTTAATAAAGCAAGCTTTCGTCTTAATTAAAATGGTGTCATCCTCACATATACTAGAATAGACCATATCTAATATTGAATAATCTTACTAGCTACTTCCAGAGTTTTGACTTGCCACAATGGAATGTACCATTTGCTAAATATGGGGGAAAACTAAATGACACAACTCACCTGTCCATGTACATCCCTACTGTATCCACTGGACAACCCCTCCACGGCCAAATGGACTGTGCTGTGGTATGCCATGTGTCTGAATAAGGTGCTATTTTCCTCATCTTCCACATCTGCATCCTTGTGTACAAGTGACACTATGGCACCCTGACTCTAAAAATAGAACAGAAAAGAAGAAGACTTGTGAGCAAATGCAACATATTTCCTTTTCTCATATATAGTATATCAAGAAGGATCAAGGATCACTGACTTCCTGAATTCCCCCATGATGACTTGCTGGCTCCCTGGCCAGACTCTTAGGCCTTTGACCTCCTGTCATTCTGCCTGTCAATCTCCACCCTCATGCTGTCAACCTACACTAATACACAAGCCTGCTGCAACTGAGCGCCTCTCAAGGTCTCAGTGCAGCAACCCCAAAAATTTTTTCTGTACCTCAAGTAAATATAACACATCAAAGTCTTCAGACAGCATAGAAAGTATACCACAGTCAAAGACACTTTGTCCTTAAAACTTAAAACATTAATCTATTACAACCTATTACAGTAAAGAAGAATAATTGGAAACATGACATGCGTTGATGGTTTATTCACCACACACACACATCCAGAGAAGTTCACACTCAGAATTCATCAAGCGTTCATTGAATCTATCAATACCAAATTGCTCTCGGTAAGATTGCAAGGGAAAACTGCAATTCATCACTGTCAACATACATGGAGGGGATGACAGTTATGTTGGAGTGAATGTCTAGCTGCATCTTATCACGTCTTGTAGAGAATATTAGTACTTATAATGTACATGTACTTCAACCAAGGAGGTGGCATAGCTACAGTACAGGTCTCAAAGCATTTAATATGCAGTTTTATCTCATGAAAAAAATCTTGTGTAAATTGTGCTTAAAGCTGTGTAGAAAAAGCGGTTTAATCTCAGAAGTACTTCAATATCTGTTCTGTATTTGAATATTTCCCTGCTTCCCCTGTAAGGTTTACAATGATAGGTGCAGAGACAGTTACCTGTAGTGTAGGGCATATCAGTACCCCTGCAAGGTTTACAATGATAAATGCATCTAGTTACCTGTTGTGTAGGGCACATCAGGACCCTACAATACCCCTGTAAGGTTTACAATGATAAGTGCAGAGTTACCTGTAGTGTAGGGCACATCAGGACCCTACAGTAGTGCATGAAGTCTGCCACATCCTTGACAGACATGCCGAGACTCACAAGAACACTCAAGTCGTCCACAAGGAGCAGAGTGGGACCTTCTAGAACACCTTCTTCACTACAGACCAGCGTCTTCACCTGGTCATACAGAGGTCTTAGAGTTGCTTTCTTGTCACTGCAAGAACATGGAATTGTTTCAGTCATTTATTTCTTAGAAAGGAATCCTTCAACAAGAAATCAGAGATGACTCCTGAAAGTATTCCTTCTGTAGATAATCAAATGGCTTGAACCTGAATGATGTAATTCATCATGATCACCTTGAATTATTACATGAAATGTTCCTTTTTTTTTAGCTATTTTCTACCTATGAGGAAATTTCTGGAACATTCTTAGATCCAAAAGAAAAGAACATTTTTTGTTGTTTCTTACCAAAGACACCTGAGTGGATTTTGAGCCTGCTCCTCCTGTGTTGTACATGTGTACGCCTGTAGGGAACATTTCAGGCCATCTATAAACCTGAGCTGGCCTTTCTCTCTGGCTTGGCTCAGGTGAACACCCTGGAAAGGTACAAAGAAAAAATGTTACTGTAAAGATACGTCTATTAATCAAATCATAACAGTGCACATGTACCAGTAGATACCAAACGTTATACTCTGTACAATTGTTGTAGATTAAAGTTATTATTTAGAACCCTCTGAAACACCACTTCCATCAATTTGAGGAATTACAACATCCATTTTCACTGAAAAATTAAAGCTTTCAATGGTTTTGATTCAGTGGGAACATCACATATAAAAGGAATGAAATCTGTATCAACTACATCACTGCATCAAAGTTTAAGACAAAACAATAATCAGAGCCTTGTCTTGTCTCCTCTTTTTGTATCTATCTGCCATCCACGTTCCGACATGGCAACAGGCATCTTTGCCCACTTTTGGCATGTTTACCACTGTCGGAGGACAACAAAATTTCTTGTCCTTTTTCTCCCAAATCAGGTGAAAATCAATGCACGTGCTGATGTCATCCATAAAAATGACTTGCTGTGGCCTAACACTCATTGACACCAAGAAAAGCAATAAAACAAGACACTACCCTTCGGCATTTCCAACTCTCCCCCAGCCTGCTGACCCCCCGTGACCCCAGCTCCTAGCATGCACATCACGTCACGTCGCCAAAACCACCTTGGCGTACCCTTGACTTCAGCCGAGCAGAGCACTTATCCAAAACATCCCAGCCCCTCTCTAAGGTGATTACGTTTCCCATCCAACGCTCCAGTTCATTAGGTTCAGAACCATCTCCTTGCTATCTCCTTGCTAAAAGGTCGCTGACGGATTTAGATCTGCGAAGCCCGGCCAAAACCCAGAGCTCGCAAGACACACAGTTTTCATGCCTTTTCTGGGATGCACACCGTACAGGAGAATTTGAAAGGGCGACAATTTGATAAAGTTTCTGTTAGAGTTAGTCTGGAGTTTGAAAGGACATTGAGTTTATTCTATAATATTTAATGTACACTGCATGCAATTTGATAAGGTTTCTAGCTGCCTAGACCAATTTAGTAGACAAAATTACAGGATGTTTATTGAATATGCTGATCATATACACTTACACAGTTGAGTGCTCTGGATAGAAGGACATACAGGGCTTGGAATACCATCCACAAATGTAGTAGGCTAGTGTAAAATTGGATTTTAAATTAGAACATATTTCTACGGACAGTAGGCTCAAAATGCCTAGTTAAAAGTTAAAACGTACTAGCTTCTGTCCAACAGCATTGTAGTGGCCAAATGACTGAGCCAGGGCAAGGAGGCACACCTTCCAGCCACCTGAAAAATACATCATCAAATTAGATCATATAGGATGCCTAGGATAACTAAAAGTTCTCCTGCAGTACCACAGGAGGACACCAGGTGGCCCATAATCAAACTTGTCGTTCATTTTGCCAGAACCAACCCGTGCTCCAAATACATGTATCATAAACTGACCGAAAAAATGCCTACTAAATTGATAAAGATCCATCCACTACTCCTGGAGCCAATTCAACAAAGTGGTAAAGTCCCAGAACAGCTCCCTTCTGTGTGTCTACAGGGAGTAGTCACTCAAGCTGTGTTGTCGTATGTACATGATAAAGAGTAAACCATGGATTTATCCAACAGCTTTAAGGCTTTAGCTGTATTCTAATCTTCTAATTAATCAGCCACTAATGACAATGGTAATTTACTAAAGACCAGTCTTAAAAGTAAACTGGAACATTGTGGCTCATGGTGGTGCAATGTTGGGTTTAGTTGAATGCATGTTAAATGCATGTTAAATACAGGAATGATAATGTGGGACTAATGAATGAATGATTACTAGTACATGAATGACAACTGTCTTACTGTCCTATAACCTATTTATTATCTATATATGTTCAAACAGAATATATATAAAGCCATAAAGACTTCTTCTATACACAATCAACTAAAGCAGGGACCATCACTAATGTATTTACTCCAATCCCTTTCCCCCAGGGACCATCCACTAATGATCCATGAGTGGTTTGGTACCTTTGATGTAGAGAGACAGGAAGTGGTGGATGAGGAAACTGTCATCTGTTAGACTGTCAGAGATCAGGACAAACTGGCCCTGAGGGAGGGAAATAAAGAGCAGTATGTCAGGCACTAATCCAGATGAAAATCCCCCTATCTGTCACCCATTGGCCTTTCATCAAGGGGGTCATAAGAGCTCTTAATGGCTTCCACACTCACTAAATGATAGGCTGAGAGCCTGACACATAAAATGATGATTGACACCAGTGTTCTAGCCAGCATCCATCTTTCTAGATATCATTTGACGGAATTGTGTTGCTCATGACAGACAAAAATTTAGCCTAATGCTTCATCTTTGACAGACAAAAAATGGAGTGTAAAGACATGGAAAGAGATGTCATTAAACTAGGCATAGTCTACCAGCAAGGTCTGACCCCAAAATGCAGGAAATAGCATTTCAGCATGGATGTCAAAGTCCCCAATGTTCTGAGGCCTGCACAACATCGCTAGGTGGCGCTCGTGAACAGTCCATTTGAGATAATATTTGTTTTTCTCGACATCAACTTCACGGGATAACTTGACATAATTTATATCAGGATCACTGACACAAACATATCATGGTGGGTAAAACATGGTGAAACCAATGTTGTCTTCATCATTATGAACCTGAGCTAAAATACATGATATATGATGAACTAAATTATTTTGCGACGAAAAACTGAGAAACTCGGACAAGAAACTTACCTTTGGCGGCTTTAAATGGTCGAAACCAAGAAATGTATTCAACTCTGTAAACATCTTCTAAGTTTCCTCTGTGAGAAAGTGTAAGAGAAATGGACAGTCACGAGCCAATAATGTTTTATAACCTAAAAACCCCGAAAAATGTCACGAAACTTAAAATTTTGTAATGGGCGCCGCCATTTTGAATATCCCATAATACACTGCGCTCCGCTGCGCAGGACAGATGCGCAGTAGCGTTGCCATGGGCAACCGGGGCAAACACGTCATTGTGATGCCTTGTAGTCAGTGTTTGGGGGCAAACTCCTCCATTTTCCTCGATTAGAATCGCTCCGAACTAAAATATGTACGACGAAGAAGAAGGAGAGGAAGGGCCAAAGAGCTCCTTCGTAACCTACCTGTCCGAGGGAGACAAGCTTTTCGACAATGGAGAATACAGAAAAGCTCTTGAGAGCTACAGCACGGTATGAAATCTGGAAAACCCACTCAATGGGTCATTCATAACTATGGAGTGACCTCTTCTACTTGGTGTGTTTCTGTCTCCTTTACGTCTGTCTTGCCCTTCGCAACGCTTCTATGGTTTCTGTTGTACCCCTCTGACCATCTCAATAGCAACAGAGTCACGAAAATGAAGTTATTCTATCAGCTATCAGAGTATAAATATTTAAAACCCAAGCGCCCCTCCCTCTTTACCCTAACACAGGAACCCTCCATAGTACCATTGATAAAAACTTTACCACCTCTAAAGAATCGCGTGCCGTGGTTGTCACTTTCGATTATTGGTTGTTACCTGTGATGTCCTTAGTGGCTTAGCTGTTGTTCCTATGGTTTTTGTATTGATCAAACCTTTATAAGGGAAAAGGCAGTCTCAGTAATAATTTAACACAGCCATTTGGTTTTGCCATAACAACCAAAAGGCAGCCAGTGACTATGCATAACCATGAAAATTAGAGGGTAGGGCTTAAGAAGAGAGCATCGTGTTGGTTGTTGAGGAGGTTCTGTGATCCCCGTGACTAAGTAACCGCGGTAGGTGGAGAGAGGTTTGAATGGGTCACTTCATTGGGCGGCCACGAGACATGGCGGAGACACAGGCCGTATTCCGCGCAAACCTCTACCCAGAATTCTCCAAATCAGATCCCAAGTCGTTGGAAAAGAAAGAGGAAGAAGTGAAACCGAAGGCGGAATATGACCCGGTGACGGAACAGTACAGGTTTGACTCGTATGTCGGGGAAGCAGAGATTTTCTACAAGAGAGGGGAACATGATAAATCCATCGTCAGCTACTCTTCGGTAACCAGTCTTCTTCTTAAGTAGCCTTTCCCATCTTCTTAAATACCCATATTGCTGATAACAGAAACTTTCTTGGTATTTCTTATAGCTATCACATCCAGAAAGCATTATATAGTGACTTGGATGCAGGGGAATCTACTACAGGATTTTTCTTCATTTGTGATTAGGATTTGTATTTTGAGTATATTATTTTGTTTTGAATGTATAATATTCTAAAGTCATTCTTGGCAGCCATTGCTATGTCATTGAGGAAAGCTTATCATGGGTACAACTTGAACAAAAATTAAAAGGTGAAATGAGAAAGAGTAATAAGTTACAGAAGGAAGGTTTGATGTACAAACAGCTGTTTTCTTTTTCCACTAAATGTCCCACAAAGTATGCCAATTACAAAATCTCCAACAATCTGACATCCAAGATACAGAGTGGTATCATAGTAACAGTATTTGGAAAAATGTTGCTGGTGTGATAACAATCTAGCTTCCAATAGTTCTGGGAAAGTTGATCGTAATTACTAAATTAGTTACCAACGGTTTTCCAAGGAATTTTCCCAGGCTTTGAATAAACTAGATTCTAGTTTGTAAACATAACAAAATACAAGGCCAGAAATCTTCATTAATATTTCAAAATCAATCCTTCTTTTGTGGTCTTGTTCAACAATCTCTTTTTTTTAGACAAAAACAGATCTGTTATGCATGTGAAATTAATATCTGTGCTGAATCATTCAGTAGTACTGTGTAACTGTTGATAATCTAGTTTACCATGAATTATCAATTAATTCTCATCAACAAAAGTGGAATAACAAAAAAAAAATATCTGGGTCAACCCAAATCTAGTCATGAAACACCTTTCTTCTTGTGTTTGTAAGCTATATTCTGGTTTTCCTATGTGATTCTATGTGTTGCAGTTTTCAACATGTTGTACCAGTAATGATATGCATGTGGCACTACAGAAAACACTACATTCTGTACACTTCATGTGTCCTCAAGATCTCATGCCAAATCTAGTCCCTAACAGTGCATGGATGTTGTTGTTTTAGACACTGTTAGGAGTTTTGCTTGCATTCTACATGTAAGTCCTTCATTGTATATGCCATCATTCTACCTTTCACTCTCACAGTAGAAAATGTGAAAATTATGTTTCACTCCATACCATGGTATGGATGAAATATATTGTTTTCTTTTTGTGACATTTTTTAAACATTGTTCCAACACAGGCGCTGGAAATTCAGCCCGAGGACAAGACCTGCCTGGTGGCCAGGGCAAAATGTTACCTGGCTCTCGGAGACTCAGACGCAGCTTTGCGAGACGCCGAGGCGGCACTGAAGGACGACAAGGAGTACATCAAGGTACGGTTACAACTTAAGATGTTGTTTCAATATCTCAAGGAGTTGCTGTGGACCTTCATAAGCTGCCAAGAAAACTGAGAATTTGTCATCACTGTATGTGATGAAACTGTGCAAAACCGAGTAAAATTCCTATGAGAAAACAGCTGGGATCTTAACTGAATTTTCTGAATGAAATTAACTTGATGTTTGCACAAAGTACAATTTGTATGTTCTTTTCCTATGTTTTGTCATACACTTTGTAAAGCCAACTTGAAGGTCAATTTGTTGATGTCTTTCCCCATACCTGTTATGTGCATGATGCATTGAAAGATTGGAGGCATTTCTTCCAGTAAATGCCTGATTTTTAGCTAAAAAAGAACAAGAAACAGCCATTTCTACATAGGTTATGACACAGCCAACTCAGAAGAGACCCAAAACTTGTATTACCCTTGTCAAAACCTTGCTTTGGACTTTCTACCACACTGGCTGCAAGGAAAATTCATAATGTATGCTGTCCTTGGTGCTAAAAAAGTAGTTAAAGTTTTTGTCACACATTTTGTATACCCAAGGGCAACAACTTATTGATTTTGACTGTCTTTCCTCAGGGTTTACTGATGAAGGCGGAGGCTCTGTACTCCAAGGGTGACTTTGAGCACTCCCTGGTGTTCTACCACCGCGGGCACAAGCTGAGGCCGGAGGTGGACGAGTTCAGACTGGGAATCCAGAAGGCACAGGAGGCCATCAACAACTCTGTCGGCAGTGAGTAGCACGCTGTGATCTAGCTCTAACCTTCTGCTAGCTACAAATAAATACTAGCAATTGTTGTAATCTTTGCCATGATTTTTCCTACATTTGGTAAATGACTAGATACCTCTACTGTCACATTTATGTCTTTGCTATCACTTTTTGTTGTGTAAATGGCATTTTTTTCTAAACCAGCTTCCAACTGACTGCTTTGAAGGTTCAATCAGAATTACTGCTACAAATTTGTTGTTTTTTATCCATTTAGCTCCAAGTTCAGTGAAGCTTGAGAACAAGGGAGACACTTCTTTCCTGAACAAGCATGAAGATGTAAGTACATGTACTCAATTTCACCACATCCTAAAGCAACTTTCAACTTCTCTACTTGACAGAATATGAGGAAAAACTGACTATTGAAAAGACTATTATAATTTTCTATGGTAGTCAGGTGAATAGAATTTTATACCGGTAGGGTAAGAACTGCAAGTTTTAAAAAGGCCTGATAGTGAAAATGTTAATAATGATCTAAAATTTCTGTTACAGAATAAGAAAGCGGCACGCAGACCAGCGTATCAGAAACCACAGAAACAAGCGACACAGAAGAGCAACAAACAAAAGCCCAAACCTAAGGAAAACCAGAAGACTATCAAACAGCTCCTTGGAGAACTGTACGCGGACAAGGAGTATCTGGAGAAACTTCTCAAGGATGAAGGTGAGAAAAATCTAAAGGAAAATATGAATTATTTCTCACATCAGCATTCTGTGGTGATTTTTACCAGTGAACCAGTCTAGTTCACTAGATTCCCTTAACAGGCTCAAATTATTTTGAGAAATTTTGAATCCTCTTTGGTAGTTACTCACTCACTTTGGTAGGCTTGTTGGAAAACATTGTGTAGCCTCCTCCTAGATTCTCATTGTATTTTCTCTGCAATGTGAAGCTAATAAACCACATCATCTAAGCCATACAATGTATTTAAAAAAAACTGTCAATCAAGGTATTATAGCTGCATGTGTATAGAAATGAAGTGGCTTTTCAATCATAGCTTAGTGCTTGTGAAACTTATCCACAGAAATAAAAAAAATATGATGATTGTTCTTTGAAACAGACTTGATCAAGGGAAGCTCGCAGACTGGCATGGCAATCTACGAGCTTGTCACGGACGGAATCCAGTACCTGGACACGAGAACGGAGTTCTGGCGTCAGCAGAAGCCCATGTACGCCCGGAAACGCGACAAGGTGGTCGCTCGGCAGGGCTTCCAGAGACAGAAGAAACCACGCGTGAGGGAAGCTGCGGCCGATCCTGCCAACTACATCCTGAAAAACCTGGAGGAGATCGATCAGTGTAAGGGGTTAATGCTTATACTATCAAAGACAAGATTAGTGTAGGGGAATAAGGCTATCAATGTTATTTCAAAACAGTTTTAGGGTAAAATTCAGTACTTCATCATCATCTTATGTACTGCTTGTAGGGGTTTTTCTGTCTTCTGATGAAAAATCTTATGCAGACAAAATCTTAACCACACATTCTTTATCAATTCAAGCACAAAGTTGAATGATCCACTCTACCGGGTAATACATGAAGTAGCAAAGTGATGACCACTTCTCAACCACAGTTTCAGCACCGTGGACAGCACACTCTTTGTGTTTGGACATGTTGAAAACTTGTAGAATCTACCCACACATACATACAGATACAGACTAACAATCCCAGTGCTCTAAACATTCTGTGACATTTACTATCAGGGAATCCCAAAATGAGCACTGTCCTTGGTGCTGAAAATGTAGTTCACATTCTGTATCTGCATATAAAGCTTTCCCATTGAAAGACAGTGGACCCAATACAACTAAAAATTGAAAAACATGCTTGAATCTTACATTTTCAAATGCTATAACATTTAGCCTTTCAACTTGAGCAGCAAATCTAACTGTTTGGGAATTGAACGTATGTCTTCCATAGATGAGGAGCATGCAAGTTATCCCTCCTTCTGAGCATTATCTAACAATGTATTGTTCTGTTCCTGTAGCCCTTGCAGAGGGTCGTGCAGAGGATAGTCTCAAGCAGGCTGAGAAAACACTAAAGACAGTCGAAAGCTGGTCAGAAGATGACGTCCCCAACAAGCCTGATGTTGTTGGAAATCTACACAGCTGCATAGGTAAGGCACAGTTTCTTATTTTACCACCTACCCACTCAATTTACATTGTAGTCCCTACCTTATTTTTTCATTGCATATTTGAATGGTTACTGTTCTATAACGATGAGGTATTTTCACATGTTCTAATGAGAATTTGTTATTGTTATCAGGCAATGCCCTACTGGAGTTAGGAAAGATGGGCGATGCTTTACAACATCACCAAAAGGACATGGACATGGCAGAAAGACAGTGAGTAGATTTTGCTCTATGTATAATTGGTAAATATCATACTTTGAAGGATGCTTTGCACCACAATCAAATTGTAATACCAAATTGATGTCCACATTGGTTGATTTTGACAAGACAGCTGCTCATTTTTGCATCTGTACATTAATTGACAAATCCTGTATTTTTTTTGTTGCAGCAATCTGGAGGATGCCCGGTCTCGAGCCCTGGACAACCTTGGGAGAGTTTACGCAAGAATGGGCAAGTTTGAGAAGGCTATTGAAAAGTAAGGAAACAATTCACTGAAGCATGTACATATGTATTGTCTTGTTGAATTCCATGGCATGAATGTATCATTGTTAGCAGCTCCTCTAGTGGAATATCATCAAACTGCAGTTGGGCTCATTTACATGGTTCATCTTCTTTTCTACAGTTGGGAGCGTAAACTACCCATGGCAAAGACTCCGCTAGAGAAGACCTGGCTGTACCACGAGATCGGACGCTGCAACCTGGAGCTCAACGAGAACGACAAAGCTCACGACTACGGAGAGAAGTCGTTCGCTGAGGCTCAGGAAGCCGAGGACGAAGTCTGGCAGCTGAACGCTAGTGTTCTCATCGCCCAGGCAGAAGGTTGGTACTGTTGTACATTATTTTGTATGCAATAGATTATGTATAAAGAGCAAAACTTTTGTGATGGTTTTATTTCATAGTTAGAGACAAAGTGATGTTTTTGTAGTGTTTTAAATTCGCAGTTGTAGAGTAGTCATATACAATAAAGATATATTCACAGATCATTTTCTAATACTACAAAATGAGTTTAGTTCGGATTCTACAATTAGCAAAATAAGATTTTTGCACTGTGTATTCTCTGTTGCTAGCAGCAATATAGTGACTTTACATACAGGACACAACTGCAGGAATCTCTTATCGTTGAATTGCATACAAGAAATTCTAAATGTACTTCTGTTCCATTTCTATACTACAGTGAGACAAGGACAATTGGAAGCTGCGGTACAGTCATTTGAACGCTCGCTGGACATGGCTAAAGCACAGGGAGACTCCGCTGCAGAGATCGCCATCAAGAGAGCCTTGGACGACGTCAACAACCGCATCGCCAAGAAAGAGAAGGACAGTCGACCTTCGTCTGCTGCAAAAGACCAGAAAACTGAGGAGGATGACAAGAAAGAGCCGGAACCAGAGCCAGGTAAGGCTGAAGTGATCCTGACATGTTTTTTCCTGACTTGTTAAGATGTCAATCATGTTGACTGATTTCCATCACAGTGTAGTGTAGTATACTTTTTCCATACACTTTGTAGTATTTGAAATGAATGCTCACAATTCATTACATTATACATGACGTCTGACATCTTTGTTCTGAAGCACTGAAACATACCCCCACCAATGAGTACCACACAGAATCTTTAAATTTATTAATTAGTAAAATACCATTTTCCTATTTCAAATTGCTGAAATACACAATGTATGTCCCTGTCAAAGTTATTGTAGATCAAATCTTGCTCAACCAAACTGTTCTTACAATTAAACAGAAGCTGCCTACGAAGAAGACTTTGACAAGGAAGACGACAGTAAAGAAGAAGAGCCAGCTAAGGAGGAGACAGAAGAACCTGCGCCGGCGGAGAAGGAGGGCGGAGACTCTCCCGTGCCGGAGGTCGAAGTTCAGGAGAAGGCGGATGAGTAGGGGGGAGATGACTTCTGGGATATGGACATACCAACAGGAGATGAAGACAACAAAAACAAACAAACAATACCAACATTCGAGCTACAACCATAAAATATGTTTGTCTGAGCTTATTGAGGATATCATCCTTACCTAAAAGGAGACAAAGACAACAAAAACAAACAATATAAAAAGAATACAGTCATGCTGCATCCATAAAACATGTTTGTCTATAAGTTCATTGAGAATATTATCAATAACTTTTAGACAGACAATTTGAATAATTTAGTACATGTAAAAGCTCCTGTTGTATGGGGACCGTTCATTTTGTATCATAGAGAGTGGTAGTCAGACTTCAATGGATTAATGTTACAATGTTGCCTAGCCCCCTCTAGTGAAAATGATCAGTCCTGTCTCTAAGACAGCCCAAACTTCTGTAGATGTATCTCCCTTTACTCATTCCACAAAAACAAAATGTATCTAATCCTGGAGAAGTTTTGTAATCTAGATGAACAGAAGTGTACTAGATGACTAGGATTCTGACACACTTAGATCTAATGTTAGTGTTGACATTGTATTTTGTAAATAAACTGTTTATGGAGTGTTCATACAGATCTATGCAACCAGCTACAAAGAAATGTTTGAATGTACAGAATATGAATATAAGAGCCACATACAAGTACCAAATAATTATAACCAGTACAGAGCAATCTGGAGAGTTTGAATTCTACTTATTCCATTCTTTGTCTTGCTATTTACCTGGCATTCTTGTTTATGATGTTATTACTGATTATCAACTGTATCGTTTTTCCATCTTGAGGTGTATTTTCCAATGGTGAGATGCTGCTTTGGTGAAAATTTTACCTTGTATATTACAAAATCTTTTGCCTTCATGTTTGTTCACATGCAGTTCCTGTACACATTATGCATAATAAAATTTATTTAGTACATATTTCAGTTGT